TTTTTTAATTTTGATGTTATAGAGAAAAATAGCGCTAATCAACAAGAAGAAATTGCCCCTAATCGTTTGGATATTCGTGTTGGTAAGATTATAGAAGTATCTAAACATCCAGAAGCGGATGCATTATATGTTGAAAAGATTGATCTTGGTATGTATCTTAGTGTTTACTTATAGCTAATATTGTATAAGAGATTAAGAGATTTACTTATTAATTTCATCACTATATAGATTATATACAGTAGACACCTCTTATTGGAACCAACTCAAAGTGAGTCTTTTAACCGATTAAATCTTTTAGGCGAAATGAGATAAAAAAAAACTGAACATTTTAATAAATTACCTATTACATTTTTTTTTTTCTATTGGATTTTCTTGAATGCTTGACTAGCCTATCCAGGCAAATTTAAGTCTAGTAAGTTACTGAACCTTATTTTTGTGATTCTTATAAGCGGCGTCTAATGTATCTGTTAATTAGCAGCTTCATTATATTATATTTCAATATTTAYGAGGGCTATTCAGAAAKTAAGGAACATTTTGGAATTAAAAAATCACCAAGTACAATATAACAATTTTATTATATATATCTGAAAGAGCAACTTCTATACTACTTTTCTACATAATCAAACAAATTAAGGCACTTATCGTAGCGGTAAACGAGCTTTGAAATTCCGTCGTCGTAAAAATTTGCCGCCTGTGATCTCAGCCATTCTGTGACGCTCACCCGGAGCTCCTCATCGTTGTCAAAGCGCTGTGTTCCTAGCCAGGTCTTGATCCTTGGAAACAAGTGAAAATCGCTTGGTGCTAGGGTGGATGAGGGAAAACTTCCCATTTGAATGAATCAAGGAGTTTTTGAGTGCGTTTTGCCATGCGAGGCAAACTGGCGGGATTTTCAATTGCAGCACACATTTTAAAATTAATTATTGAAAAAAACGGGCAGCGTAGAGATACTCTCGTTGTTATGTCTGGAAGCCACCTGAGGAGTCGATCACGTACATACCAAAATGTACGCAATCGACGCGTGCCTAGCRGCATCAGACGGAAACGTTCCTTACTTTCTGAATAGCCCTTGTATATTAAGTACAGTAAACCACATTTAAGAAGTTGCTTATTAATAAAAAAATTCTCATTTCCCAATTTTTCTTTTCAATTGCCCCCTTGGAGTTCACTTTCAATGGTTTTTACTGTATACAGCTATTGAGAACTAGATAATTTAAATTAATTTCATAAACTATCATAAGTAATTTGTTAGTATTTTTTAATTTAATAGAATTAATTTTCATTACTTATAAATAATCTAATATTGAATGATATATTTTTATTTTATACAGGTGAAGAGCAGCCWAGAACAATAGTTAGTGGTCTTGTAAATTACGTACCAATTAACGAAATGCAAGATAGATTAGTTGTTGTATTATGTAATTTAAAACCTGCAAAAATGAGAGGTATTGAATCGAGTGGAATGGTTTTATGTGCATCAATGTAAGATTTATAATTATTTTATTAAATAATTTTTGTTTATGTTATGATTTTTTATATTTTATAGTGAAAACAATGGAGTTAAGTCTGTTGAGCCTTTAGAACCAGCTGAAGGAAGTAAACCAGGCGATAAAGTATTTGTTGAAAGTTATGAGCAAGGTGAACCAGACAAAATTTTGAATCCTAAAAAGAAAATTTGGGAACAACTTCAGGTAAATATTATTCATAAATTATTTTCTTTTCTTATTTAATTTTGAATATATTAAAAAAAAATTTTTAGGTTGACTTAAAAGTTTCGAATTTGTGTGAAGCGCAGTGGAAATCCAATAACTTGATGACAAATGCTGGAAAAATTCTGAGCAAATCCTTAAAAAATGTTAATATTGCTTAATTTTTTKAAGATAAAATAATAACAATAAAGAAATAAAATGTATTTTTCATGTATATTTAATATTTATATTTACATTTTGAAATAATTTAATAATACAATTATAAATATCATTCAAGTGCATAAAATAATTAACAACTTGAATGAGTCACTACACTCATAAAGTTTGATACATTTGAGTTTTCTTCATCATCAGAAATATCACTTAAAACTCTTTCATTATCTACAAAAGTAGAATTGAAAAGTTTTTTTGAATGATGAGTTTGTTTTTTAATTGTTTCAAATAACTGTTGAAGTTCTGTCTTAGCTAGTTTTATAGCTGATGCTTCTCTGTTATATTCAGTATATTTTGTATCAATATCATTTTCTACATCATTTTTATTATTTTTGCTATGCTTGGGAAAATCTTTTATTGGGTTACCTTCTGATTTTAGTGATATCATTGACACAGATTTAATATCGTTATTTTCTAATCCAGTTAATACGATTTGCTTCATCTGTCTGAAAAAATATAAATATAAATATTTACAAATTYAAATATTTTGTTCAATAATGTTATTTATAAATGTTGGATATAATAATAATATTATTTTATAAATCTACTGAATCTAATAAAACATCAATAAATTAACTACTACCTACAGATTTACACAATTTATTTTAATTTTTCAATGCATATGTTTACATTTATAATGGTAAAAAAAAATTATTTGTTCACTATAACACTGAAGCATTCTTGATTGATTAGATAAAAAATAATGCAAAATATTATACACAAGTTATAGAAATAAAATAGAATATCCTATCATGTCTCAAACAAAATCAAAACATGATTCAATAGCAAAATCAAGAAAAGTATAGTCTGTTTAAGAGGAAGTGATATCTGCATTTGTTGTCTCTGTCTTACAAGTGCGTAACATAGCAATTTTTACGCACAGCAGAACACGTGTAACTCTGTTAGTTAAACATTTAGAGTAAATTGACAACTAATACAGTTTAAAAACAATATTATTATCTAGACAACCTCATAGGCTTTYATCATATTTTAATTTTCAAGCGAATTTTAAGTATTTTAAGATGTAAAAAYTATTTACAATTTTAAAATATTAATAACTTGCTTCAAAATTAAAATATGATAAAAAGCCTATGAGGTTGTCTAGATCAGCGTTTCCCAACCTTTTTGCAATGGCGACCCATACATTTAATCTTTATTAGGTACGCGATTGCCCCCCCCCCTTAAAAAAAAGTATGCCTTAAATAAATAAGATTTTTAMTATAATCCATTTTATCATTGAGTTTTTTTATAAAATACAATACGAATACAATATACTGAATAATAATAACTTAATTAATAAATAAATAAAATAAATTATAAAAAAATACAAAAAATTAGTATAATACAAAATTTAGTGGATTATGGACAAACGACCGAGACCGATCGCATCGATTAGTCACTAATCATTAGCACATTTACCGATAAGATAAAAAAAATTCCATAATCATAATAACTTTACGTCATTTATTCTACAATACTAGTTATTTATACTATTTATCAATTTACAACTAAAATAACTGTAGTCGTAACCGCGAGTCGCGACCCATCAAAAAAATTTCGCGACCCATGGTTTGGGAAACRCTGGTCTAGATAATAATCTTACCTTTAGATTTTATTAGAGGTCAATTCACTAGCAATTTTTAACTAATGTGTTCTGCTGAGCGTAAAAATTGCTTTGTTACACACTTGTCAAGACAGAGACAACACATGCTCTTAATGAGAGAATAATCACTTTGCTCATCACAAATTATTCGCGCGTACAGAGGACTGATTATTGTTTTGTGGGACAAAGTATAATTATACACGGTTTATTATTTATTTACAAATTAGGAAACAGAACTGTGGTGTGAATTACAGACTATAATTGTATACTCTGTCCTAATAAATAGATCAATAATGTAATTAATAAATTTTAATTTAATACGCATATATAATGAATATAAATAAAWATAATAGCATGGTATTGTTTAATAATTAATTAATTAAAAACTAATTAACTAAAATGCATTACTTTATATCTGATCTAAGCTTAGAGATTTCATCATCTCTAAGATTACTGGTAATAGCTAGTTTATCCAAATTTGATTTAGTGATTTTATTGAATTCATTATTTTCTTTTAGTATTGATTGGTAAGTGTTGTGTGGTTCAGTTCCAATATTTTCATTCACATACTCCTTAGCCTATACAATAATTTAAAGTATAAAAATTAATTTTATGAAAAATAAATAAATATGTTTATACTAACTTTGTTTTTATTTGGTAAATTATTAAATCTTTTACTTAAATTTGTAATGATTATTTCCTGATTTTTAATCACTTTATCTGAAGCTAACAGTTTGGTTTTAAGTTCTGTTATTGTATCTAAATATTCACGCTTTTGGTTACTTAACTTTTCCAATGAATCACATGATTCTTTATATTTTCTATTTAAATATTAAAATTAAAAAACATTCAAACAATTATTTTTATTTATTTACTCAAGTAATTTATCCCTTTCAGATGTCACACACTGTAGTTTTTCTTTAGATTTAGTGTTATCTTTTGTCAACTGACTATAATGAATTTCAAGTTCTGATATTTTTGCTAGCAGTACAGACAAATTTGCCTAAAATAAAAAGTAAAAATATAATATAAATGATTTATTATTAAAAAATAATAAACACAATTAATTTCACTTACATTTTCTTGAGAACTGTTATCATATTTTAAACCTTTACAATAATCATCATCCCTAGTTGGAATCATAGAATTGTAATTCATAACTGGAATATTATTTATTTTAGGGTTAGGCGAATTTTCAGCATATTCATCAGCAATTCTTCCCACAACCACTTGCATTTCATCAACAATTTTGGCAATATCTCCATCTAACAATCATTCAATCAATAAATACAATTCATATAAATAAAAATATATTTAAAATTWAAAAAAAAATTGTTTTTCTAACTTTTAACACTCGGGAACTCCATAATTTCCTTTAGTAGAAATTGTAATGTTCTGATCGGATTGAACACAGAAAGTGAATTAGAACTTTTGTGTTCTTTTTCAATAGGTAAATCACTACACTGTACACTCTTGGTCATTGCTAGAGGTAAAAACTAATTAATATTAATTTTTATAAAAAATAAAAATTTCCATACTTTTAGTATTCATCTCAGGAATAGAGGAATATTTTTTAGTTTTATTTTTGGAAGCTATAACTGTATTAGTGCCAACTGATTTTTTATTTAATAGGTTACCCCAGGTATTCTGTTTTTCTGGTAAAGATGTTTTATATTTTGGCTTTGATAAAGAAATCATAGCATTTTTCTGTCTACATGCCTTAGATTCCATAATATTATGTCAAACCTGAAAAAAATATTTAATTAATAAACAGTATCTACTTATACATTGTTCATAATCAATAAAAGATTAGAACATATCAGTAATTTGTATTTTATTATATTCTTTTTCTAAGAGTATTATTRTATTTTARAGGARATAATAAATGTTTAATTATTAGCTTATTGTTGTGATTAACTTTTATATAATCTGAGTCATTGATATATATAYATTAATTATTAAAACAAATCTGTGATCAATACATTTTAATACAACTAGTGTCTAGTACCRAGAACCAACAAACAATGACTAAACTTCAAAAAATAAAATATGAAATAAATATGATAAACTATTTACATGTCTTAAAAAATACAGTGAGTAGATAATGTTAAAGAAACAACCATTGAAACTACTATCRTAAGAATGCAAATGAAATTTTTCAACACTAAGAATAATGAATTATTAATAAACAATATAGAAAATAGAAATCAAATTGATCAATTTAAAAACATTGAATTATATAGTATGATAATTAAGTATTTAATAGGTATTGATTATTAGCATGCAATTTATTCGGAATTTGGATAAATTATAGAATTCTTTTTATTTTTAACATTGATAATTCATAGTATTAATATACATAGGTAATACTTGTAGTTATACTTGTTGTATTATAAGTTATAATACAATAGTTATAATACATAGTTATTAGTTTATTATAACTATTAGATACATTTCTATAAAAAAAACACATAATATAGGTAAGGTAACAAACACTTACTTTTAAGTTTTAAATAATTTTTAAGCACTTTAAATTAAATATTGAGAAACTTGTTTTAAATTTTGATTACTTAACTAAATTTTACAAGCATCTAATAATTAATATTTATACATCTGTAGTATGTATACTGGACACTGGTTACTTATAYAATATATATAATATCTTGATTGAAGAACACTAGAACATGGGTATTGTTGGTATTTAGGTCGTAGAGTTAGAGTAATAAAGAATGGAGTAAGTATGAAAAATTGAAAAATTGAACACTATTAAAGTAGGTATTAACATTTAACAGTATAACAATGAAAATTGATTTAAAAAAACCGTCGTCTGTGATCTCTTATCAAATTTTATTGTCGTTGGAACAAATGTATCTTGGAAAAAAAGATAACATTTAGATAATTAGAACAAAGATATTTTGGAACAAATGGCACTTGGCAGTCTGTGATCTTCACTGTGGAATGTCGACCACGATTTCTATATAATATATATCTCTATATCGTTAATTCTGTTATATAACTAATACAATGAGTTTAATGTAATAAATTCTATGTTTCATGTCATGCAATTTGTATAACTGATCGGATCATGATAAAATTTGAATTCATCGTCAAAAATATTGAGATCGACCTTTTCGCATTTATGAACCCCTGAATTCCTAAAAGCGTTATATATAAAAAAAGAAACATTAGGTACTTAAAAAAATTGTTCTAATTCAATTTTGGAGAAGTTAAAATTGAAAAATCAAAAGTGTCAGAAAGTCAACAATCGATCTCAATTACACTTGACGAAAAATTCAAAGTTTTCAGAATTCTTATATCGTATATAGCATTCAATCGATACTTTTGGCAAAGAACACGGCTAAAATCTTACATTGCGATGTAAGACAATAATAATGACAGATATTAATAACGGTGTCGGTTTCCCATAAGAGGACGTTACATCCGCCTGTGTTGTATCCGTCTTGGCGAGAGTGWAACAAAGCGATTTTTACGCTCAGCAGATCACGTTTATAGCTCCGCGAGTTTAATRTTTAGAGGGAATCAACCTCTTATAAAAATTAAAGGTAACATTATATTATCGAGGGCTCATCGTAGGCTTTTTATTATATTTTTAATTTAAAGCGAGTTATGAATATTTTAAAATTATAAAATGTTTGTGTATCTTAAAATAACCTTGTGCAAGGTCCGTTTGCACTTAACAATATAAGTTTTTGAAATTAATTTCCCGTCMTGCAGTAAAAACAATTTAAAACCATCTCATTTATTTTGTACTATGAATTATGATATAGTGACCTCCGCTACTATTCAAGTTCCAAGTCCAATTTAAATGTGTAATAGTCGGAAGTCCTTCAATATTTACGTTTATTTATTATTGATTGCCTAATATTGTTAACTATACAACTACAGTTAGTAATGATTCATATCTCATTTTTACTATATGATTATTAGTTATTCTATAAGTACGTTTAACTTTACTGTGAAGTAAAATAAATAGTAATATTATACTTTTTTTTGTTTATAAAATACAATAATGGTTTTAACAGTTTCATTAGTGCACATATTCCAGCAGCCATTTCAAACAATTAAAACTTACTACAATCAAATCAGACAAAAAGACGATGTTGTTAAAATTTCAGAATTAATTGATGCGCACATCGGTAATAAGTAAGGCAGAGAAATTATAGGATTTGTTGATTTGCATGCTTTTTTCTAGCAAACCAAGACACATTTCGTATTAATATACCTAACTCTCAAATGTGTTTATTTGTATATTCTATATTTTCCAGCAAAAGATGATGTTTTGTTGTCTTGAGCATATTTTTAGTGATTTTCCCCAAAATTTAGTAGGTACCTATTCTCTAATACCAATTTTAATGTTATTCTTCATGACTCTTATAACTACACGAGGTACCTAAGTACCTAATCATCAGTACTCCCATAGTCCCATAGCTCATTTGGCCATTAGGTATAAATATTGTTGTATTATTGTTTTTATTCAACAAGGTTATCGCGGCCCGCGGGATATATATATAGTGTGATTTCCCATGCATACTCATCACCATTTTTTTGTTGGTGCTTTTTAGGGTGCTAATTTTAAAATTGGGGGTGCTAATAGGTACCCCCTAAGCCCTCCCCCTATTTGCGCCTATGTCTGCAATCCAAAATAAAGTCTATTTATATAAAATTTGTTTATGGCATAATAAAAATAACACAATATACGTATACTTACCTTATACCTATATATGTATATATAACTCGGATGAACTARGTATACTATAAAATGAAAATACATTTTTTTTTAATTGTCGGCTGCTTTTTCGACTTTTGAAAAAACTTTATGACTTATGTTAGTAATTAAAAAAAAAAAAAAATATTTAAGTCAAACTCAAATAGTTTGTTTACGATTTGATTTTTTTTTTAAGTAAGTATAACTGAATAAGTGTATGCAAACAAATTTGAACCAAATTATTATGCATAATATGACCAATGACCATGGTCATGTGTTCAAAATATTTTTAATATTTATGGCTTTATTATGGTTGTATAATATATTAGGTGTAAATATGTCTACATCTTATATTATTTTAAATTTCTCACTAAGTTTTGGCGAATTTCCCGAGTAATATATATGGTCATATTTTGTCAATTCTCATAACTTCTCTACCTTAGTATTAAACCTAAAATTTAAGATTTGATTAATTTTAAGAATAATATTATTCGTTCATAACCTATTCAATATGATTTATTTTTATAACCAGCATATAAAATTAAAGTTTACTTTTTTTAGATGAACATGGATTTGAATATACTAAACATAGGCTAGTGTGTCATAATGTTATTCCTCAAGTGTTAAGGCGCGACCAAATACTACATATTCCAGAAATACTTATTGAAGAAGAATGTTGGTATGATGAAAAAGGTCAAAAATTTTGGGCAAGAACGAGAAATTTGAGTTGGTCAGAAATAGCCACATTATCTAATATAATAACATTATCAATTACGCCAAATCCAACTTGGTAAATACAATTATGTAGTGATTAAACTCTTAAAGTCTTAAATGATACAACAAGCCCTATACATTATATTTTATGATCTACAGTGGGGTTGGAGAGGGAGTCACCACAAAAATGTAAACTTTTACACCAGATGTTATTTTTTGGATGAAAGTTTACTATTCATAGGAAATAACAATTATTAGGAATGTGTGCAAGTGCAACAATATTATTATTATATTTGGTATTGTGCCTATTATGTGCAAAGCCCTTAACGCTTAAACAAATCATTGATTAATTCAACCAGTCCCGATTAAGTGTTTCTGATCACAGACTAAGATGATTTATATGTTTTGATTAAACTTTTTTTATGATGTTAAACATTAACAAGGTTTTTTAATAATAATACACTTATTAGATTCTCAAAACTTAATTACCTACAGATATATTTCTTGTTTAATAATTATTTATGTAATATGTATATTTATTATTTTGCATTCAGGACTAAGTACGAAATTGATGGCATAACAGATTTCTTTGGAACACAACCTCATGGGATTGGCTATGCAGTAGAGTATTTTTTGAAAAAATATACCGAAAAAAAGTTGTTGGAACATATTAAAATAATTGACCAGGAATGTTTGAAAAATAATGATATATTAATGTAGGATCACTAGGATCTTATATTATTTATTTTGAATTTATATTTTTAAACAAATAATTGTATAGCGCAGAAGATCTGATCTGTATTCTGTATTAAATGCATTTTTGAAGAACAGAAATATACACCTAATAAATTGTCAATGATCCATAGTAAAAAATATATAATCATTTTTAATTTGAATTAAAGTTATATTAGATAACTTTTTAATTAAA